ACAAAGAGACAACTTACTAAATGGGAGAACATATACACCAATGATACATCTGATAAGGGGTTAATATTAAACATCTATAAAGAGCTCACACTACCCAACACCAGAAAAACAAACAATCGAATTAAAAATAGGGAGAGGGCCTGAATAGATACTTCTGTAAAGAGAACATACAGATGGCCAATAGACATATGAAAAGATGCTCAATGTCACTAATTGTCAGAGAAATGCAAATTAAAACCACAATGAGATATCACCTCACACCTGTCAGAATGGCTGTCATCAGTAGATCAACAAGCAAGTGCTGGAGAGGATGTGGAGAAAAGGGAACCTTCACACATTGTAAGTGGGATTGCAGATTGGTGCTGCCACCATGAAAAAGAGGATGAAGCTTCTTCAAAAAATTAAAAATGGAACTGTCTTATGACCTAGTGATTCCACTTCTGGGATTTATCTGAAGAAACTCAAAACACTAATTCAAAAAACTATACGCGTCCCTATGTTCATTGCAGCATTATTTACAATAGCCAACCTATGGAAGCAACCCAAGTACCCATTAATAGATGAGTGGATAAAAAAGCAGTGGTACATATGTACGATGGACTATTACTCGGCCATAAAAAAAGAATAAAATCTTACGACTTGTGACAATATGGATGGCCCTGGAGGGTATTATTCTCAGTGAAATAAGTCAGAGAAAGACAAATACCATATGAATTCACTTATATGTGGGATCTAAAAACAAACAAACAAACAAACAAACAAGCAAACAAACAAACAAAATGGAAACAGACTCAGAGATGCAGAGAGTGAATTGGTGGTAGCCAGAGGGGAGGGGGGTGGGGGAGTGGGTGAAAAAGGTGAAGGGATTAAGAAGTATAGATTGGTAGTTGCAAAATAGTCATAGGGGTATAAGTGAAGCATAGGGAATATAGTCAATAATATTGCGATAACTATGTATGGTGCCATTGGGTACCGGAAATATTGAAGGAACACTATGTGAACTATACAGTTGCCTAAACCCTAAGCTACACACCTGAAACTAATACAAAATAAAATTGAAAGAAAAAACAACAACAAAAGAATAGTCATCGGAGAGAAAGTGCACAGGACAACTATCCTGGGTCCTCTGCCCTACCTTCTCTTCTGCAATATTTTTCTGGGCATTTCTGGGTGAGAATAAACTCCCCTCAAGGAAAAAGGGAGACTCCATCAAACCCAGAGTCCAGAAGAGGAGGTCCCCTGGAGAGCTTGTAGTCACAGTGAGGAGGGGCAGGACAGGGTCCTTGGCATCCTCTCGTCTTGTCCTCACCACGTGCCCCAGAAGCCAAACAGGGCACCAGGGGCTGAGAAGAGCAGACAAAAGGGTGAATAATACAGAATGTCAGAGCAATTCAGACCCCAGGCCCAGGCTGGATGGAAAGAAGAGAAAAACTGACCTAAATTTCACTCAACTCCTAGGAAGAAAGAAAGGAAGAGACTCACCCAGGACAGTCGGATAGGTCCCTCTGTTGAACACAGCACACAGTGACACAGCCTTGAACATAAACCTCCTGTCACCCCCTCTACCCTTGCCCAGGCCCACCTGCAGCTGCACAGGAGGCCCAAAGTCCAGCCTCCTTGTCATGGGGGCTAGTCTGGCTGATGAGAGGGTGAGGGAGAATGGTCATCTCCCCACCTGAAACTTTGCTTCCTTTGCGGGATAACCTTCCATCCATACCCAGTAGTGGAGGGAATGCGAGGGAATGTCTGAGTGTCCCATTATATCCCAGGGACCATTCAGTCCTAGAAGGAGCTGTATCTCTGGCTCCTTGGGGAATGTCAGGTAGGAGAAATGAGAAGTCCACTTTACAACCCAGAGGTGATGGAGCCTGTGCCATCTGCAGAGCTGAGGCCCATAGAGAGGTTCTGGATGCCATACATGTCCTGGACACATGATCTATGGGGCCATGTTTGCAGTGGCAACTGTATGTGCGAATGTGTATATTATGTGTGTGCATGCATGGTGAGTTAGAGAGAATGTGTGTGTGCGTGTGTGTGTGCAGTCCTTCAGTCTGCATGACAGCTCAGAACCCCATCCTGTGCCAGCTACTAGGACAATAATCTCCTGGCTTCTCAGGTCCCATTCTAGGGCTCTAAGAAGGTAAGTTAGCTCAGAGACATGTTCATGGCTCATTCCCAGAATCATATTCTTGGCCTTAAACTTGTGGCCTCATTGGCCACCCATGGCTACTCTAACATTAGTGCTTATGGTGGGATCTGTGGTGGGCTAGCCTTCAAGGGGTTGAAAGAGAGCAGAACTGGTCACTGATTCCCATGGGCCCTGACTACAGCTCGAAACCTTGTGACACACGTAGAGGGGTGGTCCCAGGAAAGCTGGGCATGTGAGTGACCAGGGTCCAGGGATTGAGGGTTCTGTAATGACTGTGAAAGTGAGGGTCAAAGGGACAGGACACATGGTAGTGTCCAAGATGAGGCAGGCAGGAGGGTGGGTGCTGAGGAAGGAGCAATGCCCTAGACTATGAAGATGAGAAGTTTCTGGAGTGGGTAGGATGCAGAAGGCATGTGAATGGGAAGACTGAAGATTCTGGGGAAGGGAAATTCTTGGTGTCTGTGGAGACCAAGGAAGCTGGGTCTTGGGAGTAAACGTGTTCCATAGGAGAAAAGCAGTAGTAGGGAAGGTGCGGAGGGTGGGCTCTCCTGGGTTGTGTGACACCATCCTATGTTCAGGAACATTCTGTGATTCTGTGGGCACTTGTGGGTATGAGTGAAACCCCCTCAGAGAAACATAAAGACTCCTTTACTGGTTCTTTTCCCATAATGTCAAAAGGATTGCATTCACCTTTGGAGAAAGTTGGATTTGAATTCAAAGTACATACACAAAAATGAGCAGAGGGTATAATGTCTGATTGACAATAAGAAAAATTTATTGAGAGTTGATTAAGTGCAGGGAGAACAATGGACATTGGGGCAGGGAGATTCTCCTGGGGGACCTTAAGGATCCAGTCCCCAAGGGTGGGAACTGAAGGTACTAGGAACACTCCGAG